ATGTCAATGGAGCCTTGCTTTCATGCTCCTCCGTTCTATGATTGCAAGGCAAAGAAAGGAATAGATACTGGCGTAGTTGTTCCACATGTAAGACATTGTGAAGACATGAGCTGGGGTCTTAAGCTTGTTCACCATCAGGATTTATAACATCCACTGACTTGTAATATGATTTGTCCCCATGTCTTGATCTGTTTTCTTTTTCCTTCTATCTAATACATGTGGTAGCATTTAAGCTTAGACTTAATATGAAATTAATGAATAGAATTATGTTTTTTTTTTTTTTTTTCAAAAGAGAGATTTCTAAGTCTTATTGGTCAACAAAAATAAAAATCGTCATGAATGTCTCTCTTCATTCGCTAGCAACGATTTATGCTTAAACCTTTGATATAAACTAAACCAAACGGGTAGTTTTTCAACCACTCAGTTTGGTTTCTATTGTTTCTAATAGCGTGCATCTTTGCTTAGAAGGTAGGTTAAAGCCTTTTAACAAAATCGAAAGTTGGAATTCAAGAAAACAAGACCTCTAAGAGCGTCGACGGTCAGAGATATCACTAAACTACACTAGGATGTCAGATCAGAGATATCACTAAACCACACTGAGATGGAATATCAGATAAGAGATATCACTAAACCACATTGGGATGGGATGTTATATCACAGATATCACTAAACCACATTGGGATGGGATGTCATATCACAGATATCACTAAACTACATTGGGATTAGAGATATCACTAAACCACACTGGGATGGGATGTCAGATCACAGATATCACTAAACCACATTGGGATCAAAGATATCACTAAATCACACTAGGATGGAATGCCAGATCACAGATATCACTAAACCACATGTGATGGGATACTGGCATGAGATGTCAGATATTTTTCTAGAACTCCAGTAGATATTTTTCTAAAATTCAAGTCCAGCCTACTTGACTTATATAAACTTTTTTATTCTTTAATACTGATATAAATTTTTTATTCTAATCTCACTAATTCTATTATTGTTGTTTAGTATGCATTTTATTTTTAAATGATAATAATTGGAAAAAAAAATTGACTTTTGGAAAATCTAAAATTATTTTAAATTGATTTTTTAGGTTTTAGTTAGTAGGTGAATTTTGTTGGAGTAATCGACTCAAAACAGGTACAAAATTTACCCTGATTATATAATGTTATGTAAATACCGAAATTGCCCCTAAACAACACAATGCTCAGCCCTAGATCATTTTTCTCTCGACTGGCTCATCTTCCTCTCACCATTGAAGCCTCTTCGTAGGACTCTTTCAGCTCCGGCCGTTCCCTCTCGTTCTAGTGATCATTTCGTTGGTTTGGCAGGTATTTATTAGTTTCGTTCGTGTTTGAGTTTTGGACTTGTGGTTTCCTCATTGATTGTGATCTGTCTGCATTGTTCTGAAATTTCGAACTAGGTTTTCAACTTGTTTATGTAATTTTGACTTGTGGTTTCGATTTTTGTTTCGTTTTGAACTGGGTTTTCATTTTGTTCGGTAATTTATTTATTGATTAGGTTGCCAGTGGTGGTTGTTTGTCTCTCTCACTTTTGGTGTGCTGGTGTGTTGCTGGAGTTTGCCGGCAGTAATTTGTGTATCTTTGGTGTGGTGTTGTGTGGTTGGCGTTTGCCGCCATAGTCTGTTGTTTGTGCTTTTGGTGTGGTGGCGTGTTAATGTTTGTTTGCCGGCGTAGTGATAATTTTTGTGCCTTGTGATTTACTTCCAGCAAGATTGGAGGTTTGGTTGTTTGTGGTTTAAGAACGTAATTGATTGTTGTGGCTGAAGACCGCAATTGATTGTACAGCGTTGGTGCAATGAGTATTTGGGAGTTCATTAGGCGTTTAGGCATGTGTGTGGTGTTATTTGAAGTCATTGCAAGAGTAGCGTTTGATTGGTGTTTTGCGTCTGATTATTGGCAGTTAGCCCATTAGTCATATCAGTTGCCATTTAGTGAGCGGGGAGGCAATGCAGTGAGGGAGGCAGGCAATGCATTGTGTTTAAAATTGTGGTGGTGTTCCTTTCGGAGTGAGGAGGAATGTGAGTTCTGACTGGTTTTGTTATTTTATTGCGTTCTGACTTCAAACTTTGTAGTTGTGAAAAATGAAAGAGGGGGTGTACATGACCTTTGAGTTATCCTCGTATGTGAAGCTGTGTAGTTTTCCGATTTGATTTTGATCTTGTCGTATATTTGAAAATTCTTGTTGGCATATCGTTAGTTGGAAGTTTTGGCTACCATTATATTTTCAGGGAGCTTCTCTTTGGTTGTCATTGATTCATTATTAAGTAGATTGTTTTCTGGCTTGTGATCAGATCAATAATCTTGCTTCTCTTTCTACTATTGGTTCTGATTTTCGGTTTTAGTTTTTTTCTTTTCTTTTCTAGTCTACTGTCTGTTTTACTTTTCACAAAATTCCACCTATTCACACCCATTTATTTATTTACTCGACATGTAGGTTCACTTCAATTTTGTTTATGCCCCTCAACCCTTTCTTGTGCAAACATTAAAACTTCACCCCCTAGCCTGCTATAATTTTACAAGAAACTCATACCACAATTGATTTTAAATTAGGCCTTATGACGATGATGAAGATTTAATCCCTTCAAGTGATGAAAAAAGCGAGTTGTGTTATTGAAGGGAGTGAAACTTCTTAGCATGGGAAAGAGAGATGAAAAAGGAGTGGGAGAAAATTGCATAACTTCTTGTATCTCGATAATGTTTTTAGTATATAGTTCCTGTCATTCTGATTTGTTAGTTACAAGCCTGATACCCATGGAGTGGTTTTGCTTTGCTGTAATATTTTTATTTCATTCTGATTTGGTTTTGCTTTGCTGTAATATTTTATTTCTTATGGGTTTCTAATTTTTTATTGTATCCAGTAGATCATTGAATTGAATCGCAGTCCAAAGGAGGAGCCATGTCCTTCATGAAAGGAGACTTGCTAACTAGGACTAGAAAGCTCGTCAAGGGCTTGGCCAAAGCAGAACCTATTTGGCTCAAAGCCATGGAACAGTCAGTTCTTCTATTCCTCACTCCTCGTACTTTTGCCTTTTTAAGAGTATTTCATTTTCTAGGATCCTGAAAATGTTCAATTTTTTGTTCTAGCTTGTCAAAATAAATTTGATGATCTTTTGGTCTTATCTTCAAATTTCTTTTTTCTTAGATTTGTGTAACTTTTTGGGATACTATTGGATTCAAGTTTCTCAATTTATCATGTCTATGACATCTTTTTTGGTGAAATATTTCACAGCAGTTTTCTTTTCATTGAATTAAATGATTTTAAACTGCTTATTGAGATAAATTTCTTTGGAAGGACTGAAAGTTTTGGGATTTTTTTTCCTGTTGTTTCCTGCTCATGAGTTGAGCATATTGCTTGGTAGCAATGGATGCATAAAAAGTTGGGTTTCCAGTTAGCTTCCAATTGCTTGAAACAATTATCTTATCCATTACACTCTTGTTCAGGGCGCCACCTCCTACATTTCCTCGAATAGATGGAACAATCAAGACAATCACTCTTCCTGAGGATGTATATGTAAAAAAGTTCTTCCAGAAACATCCAGATTCAAAATACGAAGATGCGATCAAGTATGATGCTTCTCTTATATATGTAGTTTATCACATTTTACTCCATCATACATGTTTGAAATGAGGGATTGATTCCATTGTTCGAGAGCTACTTTTCTGCATTGAAGTAAAATTAGATTCTCAGGTTTTCAGATTCTTGTGGAACTTCTATCTTAAGGGTTTGGAGTGCACATGACGTAGAAAACTCTTGTTGGATATTCATGAATTAAAATTCCATATGCCTGCTGCTGAGGCTTGCCATGGGTTGTTGTATGTCTGTCTGGGTCGTGCATTTAACCAATGTTCAACTATAATGAGGAATTTCAAGCAATGTTAATTCTTCTGAAGGCCTATCATAATTGTAGTGAAGCCACTTCTAACGGCTACTTCCTGTTAAATGGTATATCTGTTGGCTTCTAGAATCAATCACTAGAGACATGCTTGGCTTAAAATAGATCAGCTGATAAAAAATGTTCCCGATGACACTTGCATTTTGGGAAGGATGGTGAATTGAGTTTGTCATTTGTCGTGCATGCTCTCAGAATTTGCCTTCTTCTTTGGGATAGAATCTCTAAAAGACATCAGCATTGCTAAAATAGATGGTTCAATTGAAGCATACATATATATATGTATGTATGTGTAGAGTTATATCTTGCATGGATGAAATCCTGATATAGAAGGATGTAAAAAAACAGAGAAAAAAAGAGAGAGAAAGTTCCTAAGTAGTTGTCTTTTGTTTCTACAGGTTCTGTAGTTTCGATCCTCCTCCAGCCCGAATATTCGGCCTGCGAGTGCTTGAACTGAAGGAACAGGGTGTCAGTGAGGAGGAAGCCATGGCAGTAGCCAATGTAAGGATTGTGGGTTCTTTTATTTGTTTCCTTCTCTTGAATCTCTTCATTTTGTGAATAACGCCTTTTGTCATTCAGATGGAATACCGGGCAGAGAAAAAGGCGAAAAAGAAGGCTTACTCTCGCTTGAAGCAAATTGCACGTCTTCAAGGGAAGAAACCTCCTCCTAACCCATATCCAAGCGCTATTAAGGAGATACAAGCCGAGGAAAGGAAATTCGTGCGGGATCGTTTCTTCAACCCGAAGATTAAAGAGATCGCTCAAAGGTTGAAGGAGGAGAGAGCAGCTGAAATGCAGGACAGAATGAGAGGCAGTGGCTGGTCATGAAGAGTTGTTTAATTTATACGACTTCCAACCTCCCATCTTTCTTCTCGCTCTGCTCTGGAAACTAGCTTTTGCAATAATTTTGGCAATTGGCTAAATAGGGAACGACACATTTTTTTAGATTCAAGTGACTACTACATCTGAAGCATTGGATCAAGCATGTTAAAGGATTTTTCTTTCGATGTTATTCGGGTCTGATGTTATTCGGGTCTTGGATTAATAATAGAACGATTCAAAAGCATAAAGATTTTGCAAAAACTAGTTCTGCTCATTACAAAGCAAATCAATATCACACCCAGTCACCCTTTATTTGCTTTGGCACAAAAAACACGATGCCAACAAGTTCATAGCAATTATTAACTAGAAGGATGATATCCCAGCAAGTTTGCGAAACTTCTCATAAGACACCCAGAAGACAAATTGCCAAGGACCAAGCCTTGCCCAAGTAGGAAAGAATCCCTTCCACAGAGCTCTCAATCCTTCAATTTTAACCGTCTTCACGAGACAATCATACGCGCCGTTGTACATGGTCGTTCCTTCCTTGCTAGCAGCTTGATTCATCATTCTTGTCTTCACAACATCAGCTGGACAACTCAGGGCAGTTGCAGACAGACCAGACATTACAGAAGCTAAGGTGTGGCCAAAAATATTATCCCCAGCTATTTGATTCCGAATAACAAAACGCTTTGCATGATCATAGCAGGCTAATTCTCCCATGTTCACCAAAAATGCTCTTTGAACATTTGGGACAACCCCTTTCCAAAGCCCCATAATCCCTTCTCCACGCACTATTTTAGTAAAGGCGTCGAGAGGACCTGAGTATCTGGGTTGCAGACCTTGGCTCATTAGACGGCCATCAGCTTGCATCCTCACCTTAACAAGATCAGCAGGGCTTGCCACTACCTGTGGTACTAATGGTATACAAAAATATATTGATATTTAGTAAAGGATATCAATAAAATATTCAGTTTTCAGTAATCTATATGCTTAAACTTTGAATTTAGTGGTAGTTTAATGTGGTATTAGAGCAAAAAGTTCATGCACTTGAGTAGTATAGATACAGCACAAGGCGTACAGACAGTTTAGACAGTGCCTGTGATTTTCAGTCCATCCCAGATTCTAAAATTTGAAGCACTGAAAGAATTGTTTATCATCAATCAATTCCAACATGTTACAATTCAGAGGATCATACATTTCATGTACTGTTAGTAACTCGATTAGCTAAATTTCTTGACATTGCAGTTCATTGGCAAATCCAAGTCTCTAAAATGTGCAATATCGTTAATCAGAGCCCTAGTAAAATGATAATATGGAAAATTGGAACCTGAGCAATGGAGCCGGAGATTCCACCGACAAGGGCCTTGGCAGGGAGGGAAACAGAGCCGCCATCGGACGCAAGGAAGAGGGATCGAAGGTGCTCGTATCCAACAATTCGTATGGGCGTGTAGAAGAGGTGCCGGAGAATCGCGGGAGACAGGCCCTTGTAGAGGCCAAAAGGACCTTGGTCCTTCACGATGGCTGAAGCCACTCGGAAGGCATTTGTGGAACGAGAGGAGGAGGAAGACTCGCCGTGGAGCTGAAGCCTGGTCTTAGTGAGGTCTATGGGGAAGGTAGTGGATTCGGCCACCATGGCGGAGAGGGCGGTGAGCAACATTTTGGTGTTGGGATTGTGGCGTCCATGTTCTTCGCTTGTCTTCATCGATCAGTCCCCGAAACCCTATTCCAACTCCAAAATTCTGGGTAATCCTAATTCTATTAAATTTTTATGCCCAACGTCGATGGATCACAATGGGGTGGATGTTTCCCTCATAGTTCTTGATTTTTTTTTTCTTTTTTTTTTTTTGTCAGACAAAGATGTTTTTTTTTTCCTACTTTGATATCATTTCTAACGACTCTAGGTCCAATATTAAATCCCATCACACTTGAATATTGTGAATATTAGGATGGAAATTAAAGTATTACCTTTAATTGATAAAGATTGTTTTCAACACAATTACCATAGCAAGAATTTCAAGTTCATCTTGACCTTTAGAGGTATCAATTTCAAACATCTGTTATGTTATCTAGTCAATGATATATGTCTTAATTAATTGAATTGGACTTGTTCTTATCCTTTTTAAGTTGCCAATCACTAAAATCTATTTATTTTTAAATATTTTTAAATTACAAACTTATGAAACTAATTAACTACACCAAGTTAATTTTTTTAGTTTAATATAATTTTAGCCTGACAAATTTGTAAATTTTAGAGAATAATTGAAACAATCCAAACCCCTCCTAATATATCTGTTTTGGCCGGTTACCCATCGTTGTTAGTCTCACAGTTTTAGAACACGTCTACCAGGGAGAGATTTACACACTCTTATACAAAAAATGTTTCATTTCCATCCTCAACCAATAGGCTTAGGACTCTTCCAATAATTTTGACAATCTTAAATTAAACGTGTGATAAAAAGTTTAGGGGTAAGAGTTTAAGTATAATCATTAGTAAAATCTAAAATTTATCGTCATGAACGGAGTTTAATTAAGTTTAAAATCTAATATTTCATTACAAATATGGAGGGTGAGATTCAAATATCTTTCATAAGGAGTAATTTTGTATTTTTCTCAAAAAAATTTTTTTTGGGAATTTATATATTAATTAAAATAAAAAAAATTTATATTCATCTTTAGGCGAGTTTAATTAAGGAAAAGAACAGTTAACTAAATAGGATTAGCGCCTAAAATCGTAATTACTGAATTAATATCGATAATGAACGGCCCCAACATAACCGTTGGTCCGTTAAACTTTTTAAAAGCATTCGAGTCCAAATGGAAGAGAGAGGGAAAGAGATTCGCTATATGACCGTTACAATCCCACAATTCAAATTTTCCCCAAAATTTACAACGATCGAAGAGAAGAAAAACAACCGTTTTCACTTTTCAACTCGGCTTCGAAAATGGCTATGGAGGACCAAGAGCTCAAGGACCCAGAAATGGTGGAAGCAGAGATGCAACTTCTCAGATCCAGAGCCACAGAGCTCCTTCTCAGAGAAGAATGGAACGATGCCGTTTACACCTACTCCCAATTCATCACGCTCTGCAGAACCCAAACGGCGGCTACAGATCACCATCTTCCGAAACTTCAGAAATCTCTCTGCTTAGCCCTCTGTAACAGAGCTGAAGCTCGATCTAAGCTCAGAAATTTCGAAGAAGCCTTGAAGGATTGCGATGAAGCTTTGAAAATCGAGTGCACCCACTTCAAAACTCTGCTCTGTAAAGGTAAAATTCTTTTGAATCTCAACAGGTACTCTTCGGCATTGGAATGCTTCAAAACAGCTCTGGTTGATCCACAGGTAAGTGGGAGCTCTGAAAATCTTAATGGGTATCTTGAAAAATGTAAGAAGTTCGAACATTTGTCCAAGACTGGAGCTTTTGATATATCTGATTGGATTCTAAATGGGTTTAGTGGGAAACCCCCAGAATTGGCTGAATTCATCGGTCCAGTGCAGATTAGAAGATCTGGGATCAGTGGACGTGGGCTTTTTGCGACGAAGAATGTAGATTCTGGGACGTTGCTGCTAGTCACCAAAGCAATCGCCATTGAAAGAGGGATTTTGCCAGAAAATTGCGACGAAAATGCTCAATTGGTAATGTGGAAGAATTTCGTTGATAAAGTCACCGATTCTGCCACAAAAAGCACCAAGACAAAGAATCTGATTGGTTTACTTTCGACTGGTGAAGCAGAGGACGATCTCGATGTTCCTGAGATGAGTGTCTTCAAGCCAGAAACAGAGGATCAGATTAGATCCACGGAAATGAGTAAAATCCTCAGTGTTTTGGATATCAACGCGCTAGTTGAAGATGCAGCTTCCGCGAAAGTTCTAGGCAAAAACAGCGATTACTATGGAGTTGGTCTGTGGGTTTTAGCGTCATTCATCAACCATTCATGTAGTCCCAATGCGAGACGCTTACACATTGGAGATCACATCATGGTGCACGCATCTAGAGACATAAAAACAGGGGAAGAGATCACATTCGCATATTTCGATCCCCTGTCGCCATGGAAAGACCGAAAGAGAATGTCGGAGACATGGGGTTTCAATTGCAAATGCAAAAGGTGCAGATTCGAAGAACAAATGAGCAAGAAAGAAGAGATAAAAGAGATTGAAATGGGAGGAGGAACTGAAAGGGGCAGGGGCATTGAAACAGGGGCTGCCATTTACAAGTTGGAGGAAGGAATGAGGCGATGGATGGTGAGGGGAAAAGAGAAGGGATACTTGAGGGCATCATTTTGGGAGTCATACTTTGAAGTGTTCAGTTCAGAGAAGGCAATGAAGAAATGGGGAAGGAGAATTCAAGGAATGGAAATGGTGGTGGAGAGCGTAGTAGACGCAGTGGGGAGTGATGAGAGAGTGATGAAGACGATGGTGGAAAGGTTCAAGAGAAATGGGAATGGCGGTGGGGCTTTGGAAATGGAAAGGGTTTTGAAATTGGGGCGAGGGGTTTATGGGAAGGTGATGAAGAAACAGGCTCTGAGGTCACTTCTTGAGCTTGGCAGCCATGAATATGCTTACTAGCTTCTGTACCTATCACTCTGTTTTTTTCTTTTTTTGTGTTCTTCTCTGTTTTGTTCTTCCCATATGCTTCTGATTTGTGAAGCCTTTTTTTGTTCTCTAATTGTCTGAATTGCTTCCTCAAATTAAGAGGGAACATGTTCAATAAAGATTCAAACAGCCCTTAAGGTAATTTTTCATAATATACAAAATAAAGAAGCATTTTTTATGAGTGTGTGTAAACTTTTGCGCGTTTTAAAAATCTTGAGGGAAAACTCGAAAGGGAAAGCTTAAAGAGGACAATATTCGCTAGCGGTGGGTTTGTGTAATGACCTAGATCCACCGCTTCCCCTCAAGGCTTTAAAACGCGTCTACTAGAGGAAGGTTTCCGCACCCTTATTAAGGGTGATTTGTTCTCCTCCCCAACCACTGTGGGACATCAGAGTTTGATTATTACAAATGGTATCAGAGCCAAACACCATATCAGTTGGAGAGGGCGGTGTGCCAAGGAAGACACTGACCCCAAGGAAGTGGATTGTGAGATCTCATGTCAGTTAGAGAGGGCGATGTGCTAGTGAAGACATTTTAAGGCCCTGAAAGAGGGTGGATTGTAATTGGAGAGTGAAACGAAACACATTATGAGATCTCACATCAGTTGAAAATGGCAGTGTCCCAGCAAAGACGTTGGGCCCAACAAAATAAGTGAATATATGATATTCTCACTTTGCAAATGAGAAGTGCAATTTTGTTAAAATAAAATGATTATTTAATCCAACAAAACAAGTAATGTCATCCACCAAATTATTGGATTATAATATGTTGTCACAATCTTAATGTCATTTCTAATTTTGTCACGTTGTATTCTTTATAAATAAAATTTATTTAACAGTTTATCCACAATCCACAGCAGCCACACGTGAAGTTTATCTCATCGCATTCATCGTCACCGTTTTCCTTATTTTAATTAACTCTCTATACCCAAAATACTATTTTTTTAAATAAAATAATAAAATGATTTCTAATTTTAATTTTAAAAGTATTATTTTTCAATTTGATTTAAAAAAATTAAAAAGTTTTATACACATGTAAACCTCATGCATTAATAATTTTAAAATGAAATAAATTGATTTACTTATATAATATCTAAAATTTGGTATAAATTGTTTTTTTTTTTCAGAAAATTAAATTACATAAGACCAACTATTTAGTAAAGCGCCTTTAATTATTCTCCCATCGTAATTGGTAGAAAAAAGAATTCCACGTCAGATAAACAATATGGAATCCTCACTGATCCCGATGCCACGCGTCCATGTGGTGTCGTGTTGTGCAGAAAATTAAATATTAAGAATATAAAATTTGTCGACGTGGATGGCTGACTTGGTTGGATAACAACCAGAAGCAATCAATCTTCTCCGCCTAATTCGCTTCATTTTAGTGCTTATCCTAATCTCTAATCTCCAAGGTTAAGGGACACGAGGCCAACTCCTGCTACACGTGGCACCTTCTAATCGTCCATTTCTTCACCAATCCCTAATCAGCCGGAAAACGAATCACCTAATCACAACTCTCTCTCTTTCTCTCTCTATCCTACGTGGGCCTATTCTCCTTTGTCCTTCATGAAACTTCCTTAAATATCCTGACGACATCATCATCTTAAAAATAAAAAAAATAAAAAAAAATAAATAAAATTTAATATTCCATTAGAACAACCCATAATGTTCCAATAATTTATTTTTCGTAGCATTTTTTTTTTGTCGTTTACGTAAAGAGGTAACATAACTTCTTCAAATTGGCTAGTGTCATTTTTTTGAAAAATGAAAAAAGTCATCAATCATACTCGTTAGAAAAATTGACCAAAAAACAGCATGGACGTAAAGTTTTATTCTTTATTTCACTATAAACATCTTTTACTAATAAAAATTCATACTCTGTCTCTTAACAAAGTGAGACTTGTAATCACAAATCTCCATAATAGTCTGATGTTGTCAATTTTAAAGATAAACTCTTGTCATGTATTACTGTCAACCTCGCGGTTTTAAAACATGTTTTATTCTTCTCTCCAACTGGTGTGAGATCTCACATTTCACCTTTCGTGGAGGCCAATGTTTGACTCTATACAACTTGTTACAATCCAAGCCCATCTTTAGCAAATATTGTCTACGGTAGCTCATTACGTATCGTCGTTAACCTCACAATTTTAAAACAC